CCTGGTTCAAGACTGCTGTCAGCATCGAGACTCCAAGGCTGACACTTCGGATGGGCGAGGCACAATGCCTCATGAGGGTTCTGTTGATTTGACTTAAAGCACACTCTGCAAAAGACAGCTCAACACTAGTATTTTGGAGAAAGCAGACATTCTGTTGGGGTTTTTACTGAAACCACTTAACCCTTAGGACACACTTGAACGTCACTGCTGACCTCCCAGTGAGGGAGAGGGGTGGGGGAGAAGGAAAGAGGGGTTGGAAGGAGGAGGAGGAAAGGAAAGGAGAAGAAAAACATTTCTCTGTATTTTTAAAGAAGTGTTTACAAAGAAAGGACCAAAAGCAGGGCTTTTCTTTTATTCAGGGCTATGAGGTGCTTTTGTAAAACAGGTTTAATGAGGAGTTGCAAGGAAGGCCTGGAAAGTGTACTGTAGCTGTATTTCAGTAGACAAGACCAGGCTGTGCATGTCTAACAGCGTCTTCACTCAATCCGTTAGTGAGACTGTCACAGCCTTCACCCTGCATTAGGTGGTGGACTGGGTTCTGAAACCTAAGGACTTAAACCCATAGGAACTCTAGTTAGCAATATTGGCCAAAACTGGCCTTTTACTTACAGAACTAGTAACTGACCGGTTGAAGATGATAAAGAGGGTATCCAAAAGTGAGCTATTAAACATACAAGCCGGGGGTGGAAGGAGGCCCAGCGGTTAACGGCACTGTTCCTCTTCCCGAGGCCCAGCATGCCGTTCCCAGCACCCACTTGGTGGCACACAACCTGCTACAGCCCCAGTTCCAGGGCTCTGACGTCCGCTCCGGGCATGTCAGACAGCATACTCTCAGCCACACACACACACACACACACACACACACACACACACACACACACACACTCACAGAGAGCACATTAGTACAAATAAAAGTGAATGTAAAGGAAAGAGCATGGGCATACATTATGTGCTTGCTAGACATCTTCTCATGAACATACTCCTTATACTAAGTATAAAAGGAAAAAAGTTTTATTTACATTATTCAGGACCAAACATTATTTTTAACATGCAATACAAGTCCTAAAAGCTCCAAGTTCAAGGGTTTAAGAAAGTGAGGGTGTGAGAACTATTGTACCTCACCGTTTTCATGTAACCAGCAGTGACCAAGTGCCCAGCGTCACCCACACTGTTGTAACACAGTGTTTCTATCCTATTCTATGACAGGGTTTCTCTTTTGAATTATTATTTTAAGAAAAGCAAACTCAAAGACTTCTGGGTGATTTTAATTGACCGCTTTTCTTTCCTATAGATTCCAGTTCTTAACAGTTTTACAGATTAATTCTAAAAGTAAAATATGACTGAAACTCAAACAGAAAGACTCCTTAGGCAGCCTCAGTAATCCCACACAATTGTCTATGTTTTTACCAGGAAATCTGTTTTCCCCCAAGAAATGTTAGTTTATAAGCTGTCTTTGAACCAACAGAACTGCAGGATTTCCCTTCCAGAGTACTGATCCTATGATTTTGGCCAGGAACTGTGTAGACCAACCTTCATAAAAATTGTAAGAAGGGTAAACAGACAAGTAAATGCTGAATATATCCTTATTCCTCCACATACAACACTGTGGCTGTTTTTCTCAGATGTATAATTTCATTGTTCTAGGACAAAAGACTGGAGGTTTATATGACATTCACAGTGATGGACTGGCCAGGAGTACTCCATGAAGGTTCCTGTACTTGTCCAAGAGTCATCCCTGTCAGATGTGGGGTTGGAGAAGATCTTTTCCCATTCTGTGGGCTGCCATTAAGTCTTGTTGACTGTGTCCTCTGCCTTACAGAAGCTTCTCAGTTTCAGGAGGTCCCATTTATTAATTGTCAATCTCAGTGTCTGTGCTACTGGAGTTATGTTCAGGAAGTGGTCTCCTGTACCAATTCGTTCAAGGGTACCACCCACTTTCTCTTCTAAAAGGTTCAGTGTGGCTGGATTTATGTTGAGGTCTTTGATCCTTTTGGACTTAACTTTTGTGCACAGTGATAGACATGTATCTATCTGCAGTCTTCTGCATGCCAGCATCCAGTTATGCCAGCACTATTTGTTGAAGATGCTTTCTTTTTTCCATTGTATAATTTTAGCTTCATTGTTAAAAATCGGGTGTTCATAGGTGTGTGAATTAATATCAGGGTCTTCAATTCGATTCCATTGGTCTACCTGTCTGTTTTTGTGCCAATACCAAGCTGTTTTCACTACTATAGCTCTATAGTAGAGCTTGAAGTCAGGGATAGTGATGCCTCCTGAAGTTCCTTTATTGTACAGTGTTGTTTTGGCTACCCTGGGTTTTTCGTTTTTCCATGTAAAGTTGAGTATTGTACTTTCAAGATCTGTGAAGAACTGTATTGGGATTTTGAAGGGGATTGCATTGAATCTGTAGATTGCTTTTGGTAAGATTGCCATTTTGACTATGTTGATCCTACCTATCTAAGAGCATGGGAGATCTTTCTATATTAGACAGAGAGCAAAGGATACTCATCCTACAAGGAAGACACTAAGAGAGACATACATGGTCTTCTGGAGAAGGGACAAGATCTCCTGAGCAAATTGGAAGCACTGGGGGAATGGGGAGGAGGGTAGGAGGAAGAAGGGAGAAAGGGGGAAGAGAACATGAGGGATCAGGAAGATCAAGTTGGGAGAAGAATAGAGAAGGAGAGCAAGAAAAGAGATACCATAATAGAGGGAGCCATTATAGGTCTAAAGAAATCTGATACTAGGGAAATGTCCAGGAATCCACAAGGATGACCCCAGCTAAGAATCCAAGTAATAGTGGAGAGGCTACCTTAACTGCCCTTTCCCTATAATGAGATTAAATGCCATCCTTGAGCCTTCATCCAGTAGCTGATGGAAACAGAAGCAGAGATTCACATCCAAGCACTGATGACCATGCTGGGGAAACCCACAGAAACAGCTGACCTGAGCAAGGGGGAGTTCACAGAATCCAAACTGACAGCTGGGAAACCAGGCTTCCTGAATGTGGGTTTCAGTTGGGGGACTTGGGCAATCTATGGGGCCTCTGTCAGTGGAACCAGTATTCATCCCTAGTGCATGAATGTGCTTCGGGAGCCCATTCCCTACGGAGAGATACTATCTCAGCCTAGACACACAGGGGAGGGCCTAGGTCCTGTGTCAGATTTTGATGATCCCTCTTGGGAAGCCTCACCCTCCCTGGGGAGTGGGATAGGGAGTGGATAGGGAGTGGGATGGAGAGTGGGATGGGGAGTGGGATGGGGGAAATGGGAAGATGGAGGGAGAGGGACCTGGGATTGGTATGTAAAATAAGATTGTTTTACTTTAAATAAAAATTTATTTAAAAACAACAGTCATTCTCATAATGGTTCTCAGCTTACATTATGACAATTTCACACCCTTTAGGCTCTTTTCTTTTTTGCTGTTGCTGCTATTATTTTGTTTTTCTGTTTTGTGGTTTTGTTTGTTTTGTTTTGAGACAGGGTTTCTCTGTGTAATGGTGGCTAGAACTTTACTCTGTAGACCAGGCTGGCCTCAAACTCACAGAGATCGTTCTGCTTCTGCCTCCCGAGTGCCGGGATTAAAGGCGTGCGCCACCCCTGCCCAGCTGGCTTACTATTATTTTATAATGACCCTTTTTTCAATGGGTTTCACTGGCATTTCCAGTTGTCTGTCACCCTGGACATGAATACACTTTAGTTGTATTTCTTTGTTAGTGTTCCATCAGCTCCACTTTCCAGCAAGGTCCTAATGAGATGCAACGGATACATTTAAGGGAGGAGAGGGAAAATAATGGTGTTTGAAAGCTACTCATATAAAAATACCAGTGGAACTTACTCATAAATTGATGCCTCACACAGCATAGGGCAGGAAGGGGAAAGATTCTAAGACCCATAGCCATAGCTGTTTCTACTGGATGAGCTTCACACATAGAGGTAGGACACGCGACACTGATTCCAACTGTTTCTTCCTGGTTCCTGCCATTTCTGAAGGCCAGGGTTCACAGCTCTGCTTTGGATGAAGTTCAGTGCCTTGCAGACATAAACACAACCTGCCTGGCGCATTCTCTGTTTCAAATAAATACGCACAGAGATTGCAGACCCTGAGAAAGGCAACCACCCGCCCAGTGTAGTACGGTTCCCCGTCTCTATGGTTATAGACCTGCTCGCTGTGCACCAGAGTAAATTATCCCATTAACTGCTGGAAAATTTCAAAAAAAAATCAGACTTAAATCTTTGCGAGTTTTGCAACACAGCATAAATTAGACAGTTATATAAAATAAATAACTAATTTCTAAAATCTGACCCCAAAAATGAAGTGTCTGAAATATTTCTCCTCTTATTTTTGAGTAAAATGGTTCTACCTATTCACAGGAGGAAGAGAACCCTCTCAAAGCAAAGGCAGTTCCCTTATTTGTCCTCTCTCAGAGAAGCTATTTCAGAAAATCAGTGATTATTTCCACACTCCCGACCCCCTTTGCTGAAACTAGTGCAGACAGAAACACCTTTGACTGCGTGCGTCCCACAGTCACAGGCCCCACAATGATTAGGACCCGGGCACAGGGCTCTCCCCTCGTCACGTATCAGGGTGCCAGGGAACATTTAAGACAGCAAGAGTGGCTTGCTCCCACTGTAAATGGTTCCATAGAATAGTTTTAAAAAAGCTCCCTCCTCGATGTTTCTGGGTCTCCTTCGCCCATCTGCTAAATCACCATTTCTAAGCTGCTGCTGGTGAGTGAGAGACGCCCGAGGAGCCATTTGTCAAAAGCAAGCAGAAGTGTGCAGGATGAGTTGAAGTCAACACCAGCCTGGGCCACTCATAGCTTACTAACTCTCAATTAACTCCTGACATATGAATATATCACACAGGGTTCTTAGAAAACAGATGAACGAACAGGTTATCGCTCCTCGTTAATTATTCTTTGCATAGTCTTGCCCAATCAACTCCCATATTTAAAATGCCACCCCAAGTGAGTGCAGGCTGTAGACAGTCAGACTTACCTGAGGCACGCCTCGTGAACCGGTTTATAACTGGAGCTAAAAGAAAACAGCAGAATAATATGATTAGGTTTTTTTTAATCTTATTTATCCCCAAACCAAAAAAAGACTCAAATCAGTTAAGTAATTCCATAATTTCAATATAAATTGGAATGTATAAATAATATAAGAATAAATATAAACCAAATAAAATTACATGATCAGAATAAAGCATTTACTACCAATAAAGGAAATAAAAATATTCCCTAAAGAAATGTAACATAAAATCAGTGTTTCATCTAGCAAATTAATTTCCCCTGAAGACTTTAAATAAAAACTCTTTGAAATTTAGGGCCACCTAACTGGAACAGCATAAAGGTCTGTAAATGCCACTAGAAAACTACGCAGCAACTCCATCAAGTGCCAGTGTCTTTTCACAGCCAGCTTTGGGAGGTGAGTCTTGAAGAAGTGCTAACAAGAGAGAGTAAGTGCTTCACCGGAGGAGAAAGGGAAAGAACAGCAATCAGCGGGGCGAGCAGCCGCCAATTTAAAGGGAACAAAACTGAGAATGCTCACGGAAGATGAGCGCACACTTAGTGAGGGGTAGTCTCTTCTTGCCAGTCTTGGACTGAAGATGTGTGTGTGGTCATGGCGTACAAACGCTCACACAGACAGCTGTGGGTACAGGCTAGGGTGTGATGTGCTTGCGTCTCTGTCTGCCCACACGTGGTTCCACTCACATGGGTTTCTCCTTAGGTTTGCAGACACAATTATCTCAAGAACTGGAAAAGGGTTGATGTTCCCTTTAAAATTTCCTTTCTTAAGAGAAGCGGGTGACGCAGAAGACCAGCGTATATAGTCAAAGACCCATGGATCCACTCTGATGGGCCCTAACACTGTTAAGACTTCCAAAGCAGCAATTATGAATGCCATTTGTGCTATGGGGACAGAGAACACGCAGAAGACCAGCGTATATATTCAAAGACTCATGGATCTACTCTGATGGGCCCTAACACTGTTAAGACTTCCAAAGCAGCAATTATGAATGCCATTTGTGCTATGGGAACAGAGAGCATGCAAGTCTTCTCAGCACTGTGGCTTCATGAAGAAAATGCTGGCACAGGAACAAGGATTCAGAGAAAGGCTACATGGGGCAGATCAAGCTTTAAACATCATTATCTCTGTATTTTTGATAAGAAAATGTTACAGCAAACGTTTTAAAGAGATGAACGTGTGGTAGAACACACACACACACACACACACACACACACACACACACACACACACACACACACACCGTGCAGTAAAGCTGGAGACTAAAAACCTAGAAACACTGCAAAAGGGACTGGAGGGGAGGAGAGGGGATTGAGTTATGAAATTGCACAGTAAGAGGTCAATGCTTTTCCTCCATATCAATCTTCACTATAATAAAGGGTTAACTTAGTGAAAGAACTCAAAAATCCACCTATTAAAACAACATATAACAAGGGGGAGCTCTTGAATCCCAGACTGATGCCTGGGAATCCAGCATGGGACTGATTAAGATGCCCTGAATGTGGGTGTCAGTGAGGAGGCCTAGGCAATCTATAGTATTTATCCCTGGCATACAAATGGACTTTGGGTGCCCATCCCACAATGAAAGATGCACTCTCACCATGGACTCTTTGGGGGAAGGTCTAGGCCCTGCCCTGTATGAAATGACAGACTATGGACACCCCCATGGAGGGCCTCACCCTTCTTGGGGAAAGGAGTGTGTATTGGGGGAGGGTTGGTGGAAGGGTGTGGAAGGAGGGGAGGGAAATGGAGAGGGACCTGGGTTTGACATGTGAAGCAACCTTGTTTCTAATTTAAATTTAAATTTAAAAAATCATATAAACTGGGAGTCACAGTGCACATCTTTAATCTCAGCACGGAGGAAGGAAACGCAGTCAGATCTCTGAGTTCAAGGCCAATCCTGTCTACATGGGAACTTTTAGTTCAACCAGGGCCACATAGCAAGAACTTGTCTGAATCAATTAGTATATGGTAGCAAAATTATATACTCCAACTTGTCCAAGATACAAAATTCTTGTCTATATTTTATACACCACAGTATTTCAGCAGATATGAATTACTTAAACAACTTTAGCTAGGTTAAACTACACACACACACACACACACACACACACACACACACACACACACACACACACAATGCTGATGGTTTCCATGAATACTTTAAACCCCTTTTTGCACCCTTAAGAAGGGAGTCCTAACAGAGCCTCCCTCCGAGGCTTACAAGGACAATGAAACAGCACAGATTAATCCAGCCACAGGAATGCTGAGGGAGCATGGGCAGGTGAAGGTAAAAGGCCTATCGCAGCCCTGGAACACAATGCAAACTCCTTGCCCGGTGTCCCACCCCCCACCCAGCCTCTTCAGAAGATGCAGCCACTGTGGCCTTTGGTATGGTAGGTTCTCCAGAGCCTTATGATTCTGCACTTTTCTTTAAGGAAAATTTCCCGCAATGGTCCCATCGTCTAGAACATGCTACCACATGTCCCACCGCACCCCCTACACACCGGGATGTTTTCTGAATTTGTGTGAACCTTTTCAATTGTCACACTGATTCAGAGCACAACCCTGACAGTCATCCTCCAGAACAGTCCCGCATCCAGGAGTTCTGTGACTTCTATTACTGTGTTTTCTTTGTGTATGTGGACATTGTGCGTGTTCACGTATGCACACTGCTGGACAGCAGAGGACAGCCGTCAGTTTTCATGTTCACCTTCCATCTTGTTTGAGACTGGCTCTTAGAATTGTTTTTTCTCTCTATATATGCCAAGCTAGCTGGTCCACAAGCTTCTAGAAATTCTCCTGTCTCTGCCTCCTATTTCCTCAGAGGAGCACTGAGATTCCAGACCCACACTCACCTGTGTGGTTTCCAGGGTTTGAAACTCAGGTCCACACACTTTCATCGTAAGCTCTTTCACAAATAAACCATCTTGCCAGGCCCTGTATGGCTTTTCAATAACCTGCTAGACATTAAAGTCTCAAGAGTCTACTTGTCATCCATGTGAGCCTAGATCCTAACAGTGTTTACATATACACATGACTTCTTCATGCAGTTTTAATATACATCAGTATTTCCCCAGTAATGGCCTATCGAGATGGTTCCGTAGCTAAAGGAACTTGCTGCACAGGCCTGGAGGTCTGAGACCCATCCCTAGAACAATGTAAAGGAAAAGAGTAAACTTCATAGAGCCAGCTGTCTTGACCTCCACATGTACACTGTGACACCCTCCCATATACCCCACACACACCACACACACACACACACACACACACACACACACACACAGACATCATGAACACATATGCACAGTAATAATAGTTTATTATCATTAATTCTTTAACTTCCCAGCAGAACAACAAAATCAAGAGATTATGTTTTCTTTTTTTCTTACATTTTGTTTTGTCTGGAATTTTACTTTTACATGGTTTTAGAAAACTATCCTGTTGCTGCCATGACATTTGTGGTACATAAGTGACCTGAACAATCCATTTGGCCAGACTCCACCCATAACATGTTCTCCAGAGTCCCACGTGGGTGAGAATCCAGCCAAGCTGCCTTTTCCCTCACACGCTAAAGCACATACCTACTTAAACACCACAAAGCACACTCCTCTGAATGTCCTTGACAGACTTTCTAGATACTGTATCCACTTTTGAATTGTGAGCATGTAAGCCCAATGATGATTTAGGCTGCTTGACAATAAATGGGGCCTGAAATGGACAGTTACCAAGATGAGTCGTGACAGGGCAGGTGGTTTACAATAGTCAAGACACGTACAGTGTTTGACAGCAAAATCCCAATCCTTCTCATCCATGCCCATTACCCTCTTTAAGAGGCAATAGCAACAAGTCTTTCCTGCATCCACTTGTAGGAAGTCAAGACCTTACTTTTTCTGGGGTTTTAATCTAGCTAGCAGCATAAGGAAGAAGTCTGGAAGTACGTGCAGCCGGCCAAGCAATGACCTGCAGGCTCTCTCGGGAGCCATGCCAGGGGGGCGACAGGAGGCAGGCAGGAATGAACCACGCACACGTCACAGCAGTGAAAGGTGGGAAAGCCCACCAGAAGGCAGCCTGGGCTGTGCTGCTGGTCCACTGAATCACCCCAGGGAACCTGAGGGTTAATTAACTCTGACTTACAAAACCCACACAGTAAGGTCCTCTATGTCCCACTAGACTTACTTTAGTCCCTGTGCTCCCAGGAAACCAGACACTGACTCAAGTCCTCCTCCACCCTAGAGCATCCTTAAGAGTTCCCGCACCTGAGGAAAACTGAAGGTGTGTCTCCATCCGCAGCAGGGAGAGCAGCCTCCTACGGCTGCCTAAGCTCTTCCTCTGTCCACAGAAAATGCAGTTTCACTCTTTGTACCCAAGGCTGCCCTGGCATGTAAGAGTTAATACCCACCAGATGGATCCATAAACTGAAAAGTACACAGAGCGAGCCTCTGTAATTCTGCCTAATTCCTGCCTGCGGGGTGGACACAGGCTTGGCGAGGCTAACAGTCTCTGCCCCAAGGCCTGAACCAAGTCTATCCAGATTTCCAATACAGTTGCTTCCGGGGCTTACCAAATTTAGGAGAAAAGAGGTGAAAGAAGAAAGAGAAATTCAGTGAAGGCTGAAAGCAAGACAGTTCACAAAACAGAGGCAGTCAGTTAAAAGCACAAAGCAATGAGATCTGTCTTCAAAACCCAAGGACACTTTTTCATCTCTGAGCATGCTGAGCGAGACAGGAATGGTGACTTCAGCTCTCTGTCTCTGTCTCGTCTCTGTCTGTCTGTCTGTCTGTCTGTCTGTCTCTCTCACACACACAGACACACACACACACACACACACAGACACACACACACACACACACACACACACACTGGAACCTGTACAAGCAAACAAAAGGTCACCCCATCTGTACCAGAGGCACGATGGGTAAATGGGTCTTTGTGTGTGTGTATATTTTAAAATTTAAATTAGAAATTTAAATTAGACCCCAGACTGATGGCTGGGAGGCAAGCAT